CTCTGGACTCACCAGGACTGTATACTGAGTTTTCAGTTTGCAAAATCAAGTTGTAGGTTAAGTAAAGAGGAAGTGAAGAAATACCCAGCATAAACATCTATAAAGTAGTGGATTTCTTAATAAATACATTTAATTGTGGTTTTTGCAGCGGTTGCAGTTTTTGTCATTAAGCAATGCACATCCTGCACATGGGGAAATAAGAGCAGTGTTGTGGGGTTTGCCTTCCATCTCTCATCCACCACAGGATGTAGCCCTCGGGAGGACTAGAGAGATCAAAGGTGCATGAACAGATGCCATCGTTTCCTGCCCTCTCCAACAGTTCTGGCATTAGAAAGGGTGGCTGCTCTGCTCTGTTCCAGCCAGTTCGGGCTCTGGAAGGACAGCCATACACTGCTGCTTCCCTGTCATGACAATCATGGCTTGAATGAACAGAACACCCAGTTGATAGTGCCCTCTTTCTCTTCCTGCAGCTGAACAGGGGTCTGCACGCATGGCAGGAGGGAAAAACAGCCTCTGCAAGCAAAGCCAGGCACCGCCAGCAAGTTGGTGATAATGCAAGGGATAAAGCCATTAATTCTGAGGAAGGCCCAGCCATTTCCCCTGCCTGCTGGAGCACATGTGCTGCATTAACACTAACCCAATAATGCTGTCAAGCCTTCCTGGGTGGATGTTCTGTCTAACTCCAAACCAGTTTCTGCATCTGCTTCTGATATAAAGTGCATTTTATTCGATAAGTGATACCTGAGAACTCAAGAAGTGTATGGACAACGCTCTCAAGTGTATGGTGTGATAATTGGGTGTGTCCTGTGCAGGGCCAGGAGCTGGACTTGGATGATGTTTGTTGGTCCCTTCCAACTCAGAGTATTCCATGGTTCTGTGGATGTACATGAGGGCAGGGCACTGGAGCTCTCTCTAGAAAGAGAACTGTTTTTCAGGCTGCTTGTGCTCTTCTTCCCAATGGTCAGAGGTGCCTCTCCCAGGTGGATGAGAGCTGCCTTTGTTTCTGCTGCCACTGCAGGTCAAGAAAACTGCATCTTTACTTAAGTTATGTGCTCGTACAGACCAGGCCAGAGCAGATTAGCCAAGCTGTTGATGGAGGGAATGTGCACTGTCAACCCTGAAGAACAGAAGCATTCCAATCTTTTCTACTAAGCTTCCAAAAATTGGCTTCCTCCATCCAACTCTTCCTGTGCTGCTGCCTCCTTCAGACTTGGATTAAACAGACTTCTCTGTGAGAGTCAAGGGATTTGAAGATCCCTTGGAGGAATCCTAGAGGGCAGAAAAATAGCATCACCTCTTTCCTGAGACATCTGAGGAGCTGTCCCTGTTCCTCAGTGATGCCTGCAGCGCCAGGACATGCTGTGAAGTTTAAGAGGGCCTGGCAGGGGAAGCAGCCTGCTGTGCTTGGGTCTGTGTCTCCCACTGAGCCCCCCTGGGAGGAGAAAATAGTCTCAGGAATCAAATGCAAGGCAAAGCCTTCATGGAAACGGAAAGGTTATGATGAGGTGGAAGGACATGTTGACAGCAGGGCGAGCCAGCGGGCTGTCCAGGGGCAGGCTGCGGGGGCAAAGCAGCAGCAGCAGCAGCCTCAGTTCTCTGGTGTGTGTCAGCATAAACAAGGGAGGTTTTGGGCCCTGTCCTTTGGAGCAGGGACGTGTCACACAGTGCTCCAGGTTATTCTTCTGGGCTGTCCAGGACTGGTACTGCTTTGTCCCACTGGAAGCCTTGGGCTAGGTAACCATGCCCAAGGCTTGTTTACAGGAGGCTTGGGAATATTGATCTAAGCATGGACAGCCAAGGCTCCCTAAATAATCACAATAGTTTAAAGGTATTGACTGTGAGACAAGGCTCCTCCAGCAGCAGAAGAGCTGGGGCTGAAGAGTAGCTTCTCTCTGCTGAGCTGCTTCCAGAATAATGATCAATATTTACAAAGTCCAAGGAGATCATCACTCGTACAGCCTTGATAGGAGGTGTAGCCAGATACTTGAATCTGTTTAAGATGTGAATCCACAGAGAGTCATGGAGAGGCCACTGCTAAAAGGAGTGGCAGCCCAAAGCATGGGGAGCAATGTCTTGAGTGCTGGTGCTCTTGGAAAGCTGCCTGCCTGCCTGCTAGCAAGCATAGAGCAGAGCACCAGCAGCACCAGACTGTTCGGGACTATAGTCCTGTCCCTGTGGCAGAGCTATTTTATCTCTCTTTCAAACTTACCCAGGGAAATCTGGGCTTTGCCTGTTTGGGATACCTAAATGAGCTGCCAGAAAGCAGTTTCTTATTTACCAGCATTTAGATTGAGAGAGAGAGAGAGAGAGAGAGAGAGAGAGAATGAGCCTAATTTATATTCAAACAAAAATCAGACTTTGGAAGCACCTGGTATCTCATTAAAAAACATAAGGACAGTGAGTATTAGTGCAACCATCCTGAAGCAGCAGACAGTCTCTGAAGAAGATGCTTTCAATATAATAGGTATTTTTGCTTAAAATGTGTTTGTGACCTAAATATAATTTGATTTCCATGCCTTTGAACAGTGTGATGCTAATGAAGCAGGCAGGGATGACAGAGAGGAGGCTGAGGCAGCCGCATCGGAAGCGGCTCCACTGCAGTGCATTAGAGCCCCTGTGTGCGCTTTGCCCCGGCTGTCACAGCCACCAATGCGCCAGCCCTGCCCAGGGCTGGCCAGGCAGCAGGAGGAAACCTTGGGCTGCTCAGCCAGAGAAACGGGCAGGGATCCAGCCAGGAAATGAAGGCTGATCAAGTGCTGTTCCACGAGCATTAATGTCTGTGTACAAAAAAAGCTACATCTGGCAAGGAGGAAAAATCACATCTCATATAGATGTGATTAAAGCCCTGACATACTGCTTGTGCTTATTTTTCATCTGGAATCTGTATCGCCAGCCTCTGCCATCCCATTACTTGCTGGAAGAAGGAGGGTGAGCAGTGGTAATTTTGCAGTGAGCTAAAATTGTGCATAGAGCTGAGAAGCCTGGCTCAGTTCCTCCTGGTAAAGAGATCCTCCTAGTCTTAAGCATTTATTTTCTGCACTTCTGACAATGGAAGTCTGCCTGAGCCAATGCCAGATTTGCCGTGCTCTGGTAGCACAGTCCATGCTTTTGCTATTTTCTCATGGCATGCATTGTGGGGGGACAAGTATGTCAGACACCAACAATGCTTGTGACCAGCTGACCTGGGTGTGCTTTAGGTTGCAGTGTCTGAACCAGCCCTGGCCCACGAGAGGCAATGATTGCTCGGGTCATTTTGGTTGGATTATCAATACCTGCTCTTTGCAAAGGTGCTGGTTGTTGTTTTCCCATCAGTCAGTGTTGATGGGCTGTCCTAAATTCAATCTGTCTGCAATCACACACAGGTGTAAATTTAAAGTTAAGCTTCAAGCCCTTTACAACCACCATACCAAGCACCTCCAGCTTGTGCCATGTCCACTCCTGGAATATGTGGCTCTCTCTCCAGGTGCACCATGCAGGTCCCGGCCATGACTGCCTCAGCCTGTGCCACATCCCAGTAGAGGGGTTTAAGAATGGTAGGTTTGTGTTTTCTCCAGAAGTGAGCTCTGGCTGGGCTCAGGCTCCTGAAATTCCTGCAGTGTGTAGGAAATAGGCATCAGCCCCAGGCTGGTCACGCATTCTTTGCTGCTTGAACTAGATGTGATTTGGTAGGAGTGGGTTTGATTTTTATTTTTTTAACCCTTTTTCTTTTTGTTCCTTGGGAATATTTTGAGTTTCTGGATTTCTCATGTTTCCCTGCTGCTTCTAACAAGAAAAAAACCCTTTTTTTTTTAAATGTAATGAGGCTGTAAAATCTTGGTAGAGAGACATATCTGCTCTCCCGGCCCTGTCACCACAATTATTCTTCCATTGCCACACAGTGCTTTCTTCCCAGAAGATGTATGCTTTCAACATCTCCCAGCCCTTCTGGTGATGTCAGGAGATGAAAACTATTCCCAGTACAACACAGAAGAGTAGAGGGAAATGGAGTTAGAAGGAAATTGGGCCTTAAGAAAATGGTGCATCATGAGAAAAATTTCACTCTGGTATACTCTCCCAGGCCACATGGGTGCTGTATCCAAGCAAAGAAAAATAGAATGTGATGAAGAAGGACTTGGCTTATGGTGCATTTACCCTGGTGTATTCCCGTGCTTCTGAGCCCATTAGGAAGGATAATATTCTCCAAGTGTGCCAACCTCTTATATAAGGCATCAGGAAGGTCCCAAGTTAGCAACCAACTAAAGTAGGAGCTTGCAGGTCTGTTTGAATGATCTGACTTCTGCTTTCCCCATGCTGAAAGGTTTGGTGCAAAAATAACTCACAGCAATTAGTTGTGAAACTGAGCTCAGTTGTGACATTAGAAAGAATCTTTTTCCTCAAATATTTCACCACAATTTGTGCTCTTATGTCTGTGTATGAGAAACAAACATAAAGGCCTGTAGGGGGCTGCCCAGCCCTCCTCAGACATGTCCCCCTTTGGAAACATTAACAGATAAGGACTTCTGTATGGTTTAGGTAGAAGCTCCTGCCAGGAGCAGCAAATGATAGCTGGAGTTTTTGTTAACTAGACAGTCACATAATTGCAGCTGTCTGAAGTGTGGACTAAAAGTGCTGCTGTTCACAGACAGCAGACATGGGTTCTTACAGCTGAACATACATCAAAATGCCAGATTTTCAGCTCTTCCAGTGTTGGGTTTCTTTTCCTTTAATTCTTTGCAGTTTTTACTTCTCAAGCACCTTTTTGGTGCACTAGGTACTATCACAAACTAAAGACCTCCTTAAGGCATTGCTAATTCACATGCTAATGGTATCTGTCCCAGGAAAGGTGTGAGACAAGCCATTAGAGACATGGAAGACAAGCCAGATGAATATTGTGGGCAGCAGTGCATTTGTTCAGGTGGTCAAAGCCAGTGAACAGGAGATGAACAGCTTCCTGTTTGCAGAAAGTGTGTAGGGCACGCCAAGTCTGCAGTGAACATAAAAACTGCTTTATGCCTAAATCAGTAATAAAAAGAGCATCAAGACTGGAAGTCCATGTTGGGAGGGAAATAAACTGCATAACTGAGGGATTATTTATGCTTGTTGAGTAGAAAGGGGCAGTAAACCAGAACCTTTCTCTGTCCCATATGCAAGACCCTTTGGCACCTGGAGATGTAACAGTGAAGCAGAAATGGGAACCATTCTGACCTCACAGCTGCTGATAGATTGATCTGCACAGGAAATCCAGCACTTTTTAGCACTAGAAGAAGCCAAGTGTTCAGTGAGACCAGTGCAGCCTGTGCTGTAGCAGTGACAGCTGCAGAAGCACAGAGAGAGCTGTTGTGATTCAATACTCATGCTTGTCCTCTCTGGTTTTTACAGGAGTCATGGCCATGCTGCAGGATTCATGGAGTATATTACCAGAAAGAACTCTGCATAGAATCTGGTCTACTGGAGATGGTTACTTTCCTTCCTTCCTGGCCTGGCCTAGCTGCTTCCTGCTGCCTTCCTCTTGTATTTTGAAAAGGAAAAATATGAAAAATAATTAATTTTCCCTTTAAAGTGAGGTAACAAAACAAATGATACTCAAGTCTGCGACTTAATGGCAAAGAATCAAGGAGAAAAAGTGGTTGCAGATAACTCTCAGTCCATTTTGCTGATAACTTTTCCTCACACCAAGGGCTGTAACTCCATAAAATCACAGAATCTCAGAGGACCTCACAGGAGAGCAGGAACTGTATTGCTGGAGTATGGGTGGACTCTCCAACCCATCCCAAGGGGCAGAGCAGGGGGCTCCCATGCACATTTCCAAGGCATTGCATGACTGTAGGATGAAAACTGTGAAAGTGTAGAGGAAAGTGAAGAAGTATCAGGAGAGCAATAAACGGGGCACTTATCTCCTCCTTAATCACAGCCCAGCCTTCAGGAGGTCTGCAGGGAGAACTAATGGATTAAATACAGGTATTAAATGAAATCTTGGAAACATTTCCCTCACCTGGCAGGACTGAGAAGCTGATGGTTATGAGGGTGTGCTCCCAGTGCATTTGAGCTGTGAGAGACGACCAAAGGAGCTGGGACCCTGGCTGACACTGTACAGCCACAGGATTGAATAACCTGGTCTTTTGCTGTTGCCAGGGGCAAATTTGAAATTTTCTGAATACATCCTTCATCAATTCCCAGGTGGACTAAATGAGGTGCTCCTTCTCAAATTGCTTTCCACCTGAGGAGGAGGTTAGTCTGTGTTTTAGTTCACTTGCTGCAGTGCTTGACCACCTCCAGATTATGGGGCATGCGAGCAAAGAGCTACAGCTCTTCCACAGCCAAAGACTACAGCAGCATCCCAAGAGATGCCTTGATCACTTACTGATACAACCTGCACAAAACCTTGCACGAGTGTCCTCAAAATGCTTGTTTGGATGTCCAGGTGCCCTTCTGTCAGAAGGAAGGCTCCAGAATGTGTGGCTGAAGATGAGGGATGATTGCTGTCCTGGTGCCATGGAAGGCTGAGTGCAGATGGGAGCTCACCAGGAAGGGTTCAGTGAGTACAAGCACTGTTCACAACTGGGAAGTGGAGGTGGAACAACGTACTGGGAAGTGGAGGTGGAGCAACGTATTGTTAACTATATACCTTGGTGCAGTGGGGTTTAATGCTGGCTGCATTCCCAGGCCATAAGATCTCACCTTGCTTTCAGCAAGGATTCAGTAATCTTTCTTCCTCTTTTCTCTCCTAGGAACCACTTTGCCTTAATAGTATTAAGAAAAGCAGTGCTTTTCATAACTCCAGGGGTTTATCTGGAATGTGTGAAATAGAGCACTGTGAACTGTACCTCCGGTGACTGTAGCTCAGCAGGGTGTGAGGGGTTATCTGCTGTCTCCTTTACTAAGTGGATGGGATGACTGGAGTCCCTGCATGACCAGGTGGTTTGTGAGCAAGTGCTCACAGGGAGGGCAACTCTGCCCACAGCTGGAACCAGCACTGTGAACTCTACTTCAAAAATTAACCTTCTAGTGCTGGGCAAAACTAACCCATCTGTTGGGAGAAAGGAAATCAACTTTAATAAATGGTATCATAATTCAAAGTATTTTTTAAATATAAGGCTAAATTAAAGTAATACTCTTCTTAGGGACAAATCAACACCAATCAGGTTAATCAAACTGTCATCTAAAATAATCCAACACAAGTAGAAATTCCTGTGTAGCTCAGTGATGATGCTAGTCATTTCATTCAGTCACTTTCAGAGTATAAAGAGAATCCTTCATCTTTGAAGTCAGTGACATTGGTTTCTCCAGCTCCTCCTCCCTTTCCTAGCACACTGCCCCTTGATTTTGGAGGATCACTGGCTGGATGCCTGTCTCCCACAGTCCTCATGCCACCACTGCCTGAGTAAAACCTCAGCAGAAGTGATGCTTCACCAACACACACCATTCAGACACTGAATTGTCATTAGGTGTTGCTTAATTGTTACTGGCACTAGAGATTCCCCTTTACATTTTAGACAAAACTCCCTGCTGGCACTGTACTGGCAGTGGAAAAAGGGCAGGTCATAAAGTGTAGCCAAGATCAGGGTCAAGGAGCTGTGCTGGGTGGCTGTTGTGGGACCATGGGTGACAGTGACAGCATAGCAGTGGCCCTGCCACTCAGAGCTAATGTCATAATTCAAGCAACAGCAATTAAAACAAAGCATAAGGGTACTATTTGCATAATACGTTCCCCTTTAAAAGAGTGTTTGTCCTCAGACCCGTGAGCTAACTCAGCCCACTGGTCCCACTGACAAAGCTGTGTCAGAACTATGCCTCCCTGAGAGGCAGCCCCAGGTGAAAACAGGATGGGAGGAGATGTGCATTAGGAATTAACAGCTAGTTCATTCATCAGGTACACACAGGCTTTGTCATCTCCTCACCAACATGTAACACACACACAATCCCACCACTGAACTAATTCACTATGCAATTTTAGATCCCTGGCTTCTTTTGAATGCAAGTAACTTTTAGCTCTCTATTTATTTCCCTCCTTTCATCATTTTATTTCTGAAATTAAGAATTGACATTTCCTCTATTTGTGATCCTGAGAGGCAGTTACACCTTTGTACAGCTATGATCTACCTGCTATAATTTCTGGAACCATTTTCTTTCTACCCAGGAATCTCCAGACTCCAGAAGTGGTTTTGATCCATTTCTTCTGCTCCAACACCTTTATTCCTCTGATGTCAGGGAGAAGTCCATACACAGGAAGCTTCTTCAGAAACTCCCCAATGACCTGAGTTGCTTTTCTCCAGCTCTGGAGAGAAATGGCAATGACATCTCTCATCAATGACATGTGATCTGTCAACTGGAGAGACTGTTCCTCACACAGAGGGGAGTTAACATGAGCTGAGAGATTCCAGCACATCTCAAAAGTTTTATCATAAGTCAGCCTTCAAAAAGGATTAGATGCAGAAGATATCACCGTGCCTTTCCAGTGCCAGAGGCACTAGAGATGTAAATTTAAGGATGCAGTCAATATAACTACCTGAGATATGACTTCTCAGGGGCACCATGTCTCCTCTCCCTTTCCACAGTCTGGACACTGCAAGTTTATCCAAGGGCTCAGCTACTCTGGTAAGCAGAAAAGTCTCAATATGGAACATAACAGAGAATAGAGAGCAAAGGTGCTGCAGGGGCTCTGCAGAGTGGGAACATGGACCTGGAAGCATTTTCCCCTGTTTCTCTTGTTCCCACCAGCTCCTGTACACCCCAGTTCCCAGTGCCACCATACAGCACTGCTCCCAGGCATGAGGCAGGGTGACACAGAGGTACATGGGTTGCTCTGGAGTAGCAGGAGTGCCATAAAACCAGATACTTTTGGAGTTCATCTGGCTTTACACAGAGAATTGTTTGAAAAGCACCCTCATGTGCACCCTGCACAGAGCTCATTGGCCCCATGGTTTAATTGCTGTGGCTCTGTGCTGTCCCAAAGCTGCCAAAGTGCTCCTGGAGTACAGCTGGCAACAGCAGCGATGGCTGAGCTTGCAGCGTAGGGCATCCAAGCCATAACCAGCCTGGATGTGAAGTGGCACTACAAGAGCCAGGTCCCATGTCTCTATCTGCAGAGCAGCACACTCACAGCCTGGACAAACAACTTGTGAGAAGCTGAGATTTTATTATGTATTCAAGTAAGTGTGTCTCCATGACACCTGCTGTCCCACTTGGGTGACAGGCTTGGGTGGCACTGTCAGGTACAGACGGGGTTGCTGCAGACTGCTTCATGGGGACATCCATCCTGTGAGCTCAGGGAGGAGCAATTCCTCAGGGAAATATGGGAAATCACCACTCAGAGGTGTGACCTCTGGAGCCACATGATCAAACGAGACAAAAACCCTTCTTGTATAGCCGACTTTCTTCTTCATGCAGCCACCAAGAAGTCTCAGCTGTGATTTTTTTCCAGCTGTGCTGGTGGCAGATGTCTATGGGTGGATTTTGAACTGGAGGATTTAGCTGCACCAGTGCAAAATCCCTGCTGTAAACAAGGCTGACATCTGTATCTGCCTTTTATTTCTGCAGCAGCTTTCCTTTCTCCCCCTTCTCCTCTCTAATAAAGATATCCTGGCAAGCTTCCTGTTTTTCAAGAAGGATCAGAGCTGCCAGTTGCCCTGGCTTTGGCTTCATGCAGGCCTCTTCCTCTGCCCCTATTAATTCCCCTGTAAATCGGATCACAATGAAAGGGAAACGGCAGTGTAATTTAATTGTCCACTGGAGAGGGATGCTGGCAAAGTCCTCAGGAGATGCCTTTTTTATCCCTATATGTTACTTTGCAGGAGAAGGGGGACACTCAGCATTAGCTTCCTCTCACCATGTGCCTTCTCATAATGCCCAGGAATGAATCGTGGAAGTTCACTGTGCCACGGCTTCCCTGCATTGGGAGAATAAGAAAATGGAGATGTCCCCACTCCACACTGGATGTAGGAGTGGGGGGTGAAAATTAATTAGGCAATTCTTGGACAGAGCTCTAAAATATAATGTACTCCCTCATTGTGGCTGTCAGGCAGCCCCATAACTTGGCAGAGCACTGTTGGATTCCATCCTGTCTCCAGCAAGTTGGAGCTGGGGGTGGAAAAGGGATGTGGAGCAGAGAGATCTGTGTCAGAAGCGTTTCTGCAGAGAGACAGGTCCCTTAATACAGAGAGTAGGGGCAGCAGCAGGAGTCCTGCAGCTGCTGTGGGCTGTGAAATGGCTCTGGAACTAAATTTAAAAGTGGCAAACGCTTGGGCACTCAAACCACTCTGGGTAGGAAGGCACATGACATGAACGGAGCCCCAGTGCTTCTGTGTCACTGAGCTCTTTCCCCCAGGCAACATGGTGACATGTGATTTGGTAACACAGATTATGGTACAGTTTTTCCATCAGGGCTTGCTCGGATGCCTGCTTTCCTAGACATGGTAGCAGGGAGTTGGACAGCTCCTCTGCTGTGGCTGAGGCACAGTGACATGTTGGCCATCTCGTCTTTTCTTGAGCTTTTCCTTGGGGACAGTGTTGGCTCTTCCTCTTAACTTCCTAGCATTCCATTAAAACTTTCACAAGTTTCTAATCCTTTAGGGAACCGTCTCTAGCAATTAGGAAACTGCTTTAAAGATTAAAGTGATGTTTTACTGGGAATCTGAGAGCTGATACAGTGGGAAAGCTCAAGAAAAGTGTTGAGCTGGAGTCAAGGGGCACTGGGGCTTTGCTCTGAGATGAATTTATTTCCAGAGACTGATACTCTGACATGTGAGCTCATATATGGTGGAAAGATCAGCAGCAGGTGCCTCCTGCATGGAGGGGGAGGACCCTGCACATCTTTCCTCTCCCAAATGGCAGGAACAAGACGGGGGAGGTGTATGGGGCAACCTTGAGCCTCTTCACAGGAGCTGAGACTTTTAACTGCTGCCATCATCAGAAGTGTCACCAAAATGGGTCTGCTGTTAATAATAGGTAGCCTGAAACTGTCACCTGTACAATGTGCAGCACCAGTGGAACCTCTCAGCCCTTCAACCACTACTGGACACCAGGAACCATCAGCTGCATCAGGTGGTAGCTGCAATTACACACACTGACATTTTCATGGTTTGGGTTCTTCTGCCTTGAAATTCTCAAGCTGGTCTTCAGTTCCTCTCACCCATCAAGACCAAAAGGACTTGCTGGTAAAATATTCCTTTTTCCACACTTTAAAATATCTGGCATAGAAAATGTACATGCTTCTGACTTGCCCTCCAGGTGTCTTGAGATTTAATTAATCCCAAGTCACATTTGAATATCTTCTGAGACAGAGGCATAACACGAATCCACTTGCATAGAAAAAGGCATGCAGATAATTGCTTCTGTGTCTCTTAGTATGGGGAGAATGTCAGAGGGACAGTCACTTCCTCACATATTTCTGATGAATTACTGTTTTCATTTAAATTCTATTAAAAAATATGTAAGTTGGTGTGCTCTTGAAAATGTTGGGCCCAGAGTTATTGCTGGATCAGATATTTATTGCTGAACAGTGTTCAGCCTTCTGCAGGCTGCCTGTCTGCAGCTGAAAGGGGCCAGGTTTAGATTAGATATTAGGAAGAGACTCTTCACTGTCATGGTGGTGAGGCACTGGCACAGGTGGCTAAGAGAAGCTGTGGATGCTCCATCTCTGGAAGTGTTCAAGACCAGGCTGGATGTGGCTTGGAGCAGCCTGGTCTATTGGAAAGTGTCCCTGCCCATGGCAGGGGTGTTGGAACAAGATGACCCAAAGCATTTTGTTAACATCAGGGTGAGATGGACTGGTAAAGATCTCCCATGTGAAGACTGGTCCTCACCTGCCTGGATTTGGGTGTTCTTCTGACCAAAAGTGATAGGAAATGCTTTGCTGACCACAACCATTCTGAAATCCAGAATAAGATAAGAAGCAAGGATGTACCAGGTTCATCAAGCGACTTCATCTGCTCTAAGACTGAGCCCTGGTTCCCTGTGACTTCTCAATAGCTGTGTGCTCATGGCCACCACTTCCCTGGCTCCTCACCAGACTTTCTGGAGTAATTTTTTCTCATTTGGAGTTGAATGTCCACCTTCTGGGCAGCTCTAACTGGTTAAACCCAAACCTGTGTCTAAATCAGATTCCAGGTTCAAACATAGTCATCACCAAGGGCACAGCTGCTGAACAAGCAGAGTACGAAAGAGATGCAAACCAGAATGGTAGGCAAATGCACTCAGATTTTGACACCTGAGATATTTATAACCCAGACTATTTACAGTGAGATGTCAAACATAATTTGAAGATTAACAAGTAGTCTTGCAACGAAACAAGCAGGAGAAAAAACAGCAGCAAAACCAGGTGTGAGATGCCTCAGCCCATTCATCTGAAGGATGGTTTGGAAAGGATGACACAAGTATGACAAACCCCTTCAGTTTTCATGTCATATGGAACTGCAACATCAGACAAACTAAAAATATAATCTGATTTCTGGTGCCTGTAAGATTAAATCCATTTGTCTACCCCTTTTGGCCTGCAGGATGTCCCAGTCTGTCACAACTTGTTTTTCTTGTAAGTGAACAGTGTAGAGAACTTGCCACACAGAAGCCCCTGCTGGGAAATCCTAGATATTGACAGCAAGCACCACAACCTGGAAAGCTTAATGAGTAACTCTTTCTGTATGTCCTATACAAAGAGCATATCTTTCAGTAGGCCAAAGTGAAAACACCGTATCTCATTTTGTTTGAGCTCATGGCACTATTCTGTAGTGCTGTGTGAAAGACAAATCCCTGGCAAAACATTCTCAAGGTGAGGATGTAATACATGAGCCTGTGTTTGCCATGAAAACACAGAGAAACTATTGAAGTACCAGAAAGGAATATGTCACTTGTCTCTAAGACGTTCTCCTCTACACGAGAAGCGAGGTGTGGAACACAGTGCCCTTAGGTGAGGTGGTCTTATCTCATGTATTTTTGTACAATTGAGTTAACTCAAGGCTTACCTGATTTTAGACCTTGTACAAAGCTGTTGGGCCCATTGTGCCTGTGACTTGATAGCGCTGGAATCTGTGTGTCATCTTGAGTCTAAGTGCTTTTACCGGGATTTGGTGATAAAGTGCATGGAGCTTCTAGTACTTGCTGGCCAAAGGGGTTCACCTATTCTGCATAGAAATATGCACATTTAAATTTCTTGTCCTCATTGCTTGATGAATAGGTAGCCTTGGAAGGCAGAGCATCTCTGTTTGTGCCACTCCTGGCCTGCAAAGTCTGGAGTTGGAGTAGGGAGCAGAAGTGAGGCTGTGATCATGCTCTTGGCAGTATAGCACAGACTCACTGCCCAGGTACCAGAGCAGCAGCAGGAAACAAGTGTGTCCAATTTCTGTACAGGATGGGATTTCCATGCTCATCAGATAGTGGAAACTGGAATAAATAGAATTAATGATCTCATGAGACCATTGCAGACAGTGTGAGTCGAAGTTCTTTGGCAGAGAGAAGTGCACTTTCCCACTCTTAAGTGCCCTGAAATGCCCTAACCAGATATACAAACAAGGAAAATTTTGCTATTATCCCACATTTTCTCCAACCATCTTCCACATCAAATGCTCAGAAATGAGTGAAAGATAAGATTGGAAGCAAAGGTGGGAAGAAAATTCAGCACTCCCACTGGAGATAGAATGCTCTGGATGAATCCCCGCTGAGCCTAGTGCTGCTCCTGAAGACTGATCAATATTCAGAGTAGTAAAGGGGTCCAGAAATCTGGCAGTTACTTAGGGAGGAGCAAGGTGCACAACAGGACCCTATAATAGCTTGATATGCCCACATCTTGGAATATGTGCTACTGTGCTCCAAGTTACAGCATCCTTAAAGGGGTATATTAGCACTATAGGGTGACAAACTCTACAAGAGTCCTGTCACTTCAGTGTCCTGTTTCCCTGATTGTCCATTTTTAGTCTCCAAACTCAGGGCAGTCTGGAGGAGTAGTGTGTGCTGATGTCACCCCTCTTCCTTGCTGAGGAGAAGTGATGGAATTGGGAGGACCTGAACCTGGGAGCCCAGCAGCACTGCCAGGTCCTGGAATTAGACAGGGGGGAGATAGGGAACAGTCCCTCTAGGAGGAGAGACTAAATACATTAAGGCTCTGTCCTTTCCAATCTTGCCTTCCTGGGAGCTGGGCAGATCCTTCGAGACATAGCTTTGAGTGCTGGAGTGCTCCTGGGACTATGGATGATGACTTACAACAAGGTTTGGTTTTCTCTGCTGATTACAGAGCCTTTGTAATTCTTGACACCACCATGCCCCTCTCCTCAAGATCCCACATGTGTATCTCCTTGACAAATTCCAGCCCTGATTCTGAAAGGGCTGAGGTGGCAGCTACTTATTAAAGGTCCAGTCTTCACAGTAGAAGAGGAACTGGAAAAGAAATGAAAAATTTAATTAATGCTACTGATGGTTTATAGAAGAAAAGCAGTAAGAAACACCTTTGGTGTGAGACTGATATTAAACTATTTTTTAAATTACTTTTCCTCCTTTGAAAGCAAAAAATAATTAACTGTGAAGTGCTGGCAATGTAATACCAGCTCTGACTGGTGGTGCATATATTTGGTACTTTAGTTGTCCAGTCCTGAGAAATCCCAGGGGACAGGGTTTATATCAAGTATATTATTTTCTCATCAAAGAAGCATTTTTTTTTCATTTTAGAGGAAAAGCATAGCTCAATAAATGATGTTCACCAAATCCCAAACTAATTGAAGTCAGGAAGGTGCTCCAGAGGCCATCCAGCCAAAGGCCCCACTACAGCAGGCCCAATTAAATCAGGTTATTTATGGCTTTGTCCAGCAGAGTCATGAATAGCTCCAAGAAGATAGATTTCCTAATTTTTCTGGACTCTATTTCAATCTTTGATGAATCTTATTAGGATGAAGGAGCTTTTCCCATACCACAATTTTCCAAATTGCTCCCATCCCACCTCACGCCTGTTGTCTTTGCTACAGTGCATCTCCAAGAAAAATCTGGCTCCATCTTCTCTGTGCCTTCCTATTGCAGACAGCATTAAGATCTCCCCATACCTTCTCTTATATCTGAACAAATCCAGTTCACCCAGCTGCTCCCTGTACATCACACACTGCCCTTCCCTAACCATCTTGGAGACCTGCTGCTGAACTCTATGTTAACGTGTTTCCTCACTGGGGAACCCCAAAATGGAGAAGATCCTCCAGGTACACTGTTAGGTTGAGTGAAACAAATTGATTCTGAAGTTTGAAGTTCCAAATTTAATGTTAGCAATAAGTCCCTGGCCTCAGGATAAGAAGTTTCCATCTCTTCTGGCAGTACATGCCCATAACCAGACTGGGGCTTTTGCAGTGTGGCAGAAATGCTTTAAGAAAAAAAAAAAAATAGAGTTTCAGCAGATAATTAAAAATAAAAATAGGTGTAGGTGTTAGATCAGCTATGAGTACAAACTGTCACAGGTCTAAGCTCTAAATGCCCTTTGAAATGCACACCCCAGCAAAGGAGGCAGCTGGACACACAGTTTGGATGCATCCTGATGTGAGCAGTGCTGCCAGTGTGGGAGCACAGCCCACTCCCATTCTGCAGGGTGACCAAGGCAGCAGCAGCTTCAGAGGCAAGAGGAGAAGCAGGTCTGGGATGTCAAGGAAACACTGCTTATGTGATGAAATCACATTACATAAGAGCTGCACGACTACAGGTGCACAACCCCTGGTGTTCCACACCTCTTGCAGGTAGAAGAGAAAGGGGGATGGATGCACCCAGGTTGCTGGGAACCATTGGGGATCCTTCTTCTCCAGGCTGATCTATTTCTCAGCAATTATAGTTCAGCAGATCCTTTCTCTGGTGCCACGTGTGGGTGACAGAGAGGCAGTAACAGAGCCAACACAGGGGGTTTTCAGGAGCATCAGCTGAGCACGTTGACTTGGAGGCAGAAAGAAGTGCCAAAGGAAAATGAGGGATAAGTGGAGTGCTCCCTCCCTGCAACCATGCTGCCGTGCTGCTGCTGCTGCTGGCTGGCAGCAGGGTTAAGTCTTTATGTGGCTTGAAACAGCTTGTAAAATATTGTTAAATGGCTTGAAATTCTCAAGGTGATTTGGATCAAAGTGCAGACTTTCAGTATTTTTATTATTTATATTTTTGAGTTGATGGGTTTTTTTCCCTCTTTTAATCAGGCTGTGACTTCCCATATATTTCTGTGATAAATCACTCAGTTTAATTATTGTGTCATTTAGAAATAATCAAAGGTTGGCAGCAAGAGAAGATATTGCTATATTATGCATGTATATATACATATTCCATTTTACTCTAATGGATTGTTCCAGGTATGTGAAAGGCCCAGGACACTTGAGAGCCAGATGCCAACACAGAGAATGTGTTTTCACAACAAAACCTGTCGTTAATGCCAAGTTGCCATGTTCAGAAGGCTAAATTATCAGGGGCAATTTCCATCCCATTGCTCACAACATGTGCATGGAGGATG